GGCCTAGTAATGCTGATTTATCATTGGCCCGCCTGTGGAGCGACAATTTTTCTCGTACGTCGTCGACTCAGGCCCTTGCTAGAACTATGCCTAAGCCTAGTTTACCATACATAACGAACTAGTAGCAGTCTGGTTTAATTATAAACTAATACTTTAGGCCAAGATGTGATTTATACAGAATCTCAGAATATTCAGCACTTCAAGGATGGCATTCCACAGAGAGGAGAGCCTATTCATGAGATAGGACTAGGCCTAGCCTACTTACTTAGGTTAGGTAGCTAGTGCTAGTTCTACGAGGGACTCGTTATTGGTGCTACTATGGTAATTTCAGCAGCCATGTTTATACATACAGTATAAGTTAAAAAATAAAAACATGTAGCTAGGTAAGTAGTAGGACTATTGCTAATGAAACTATAGTGCCGCCTAGGCTAGGTAGGTAAACATATGGCTAAACGACTTACCGTATGGATCTAGGCATAGTTAGGCTTAGGCCTAGACGCCCTACTACTACTACATTTTACAGTTCAGTTAATAATATACAGATTATAACACATCTATATATATGTATGTATGTTCCACATATATAAAATCGGAAATAAGTAGTAACACAAAATAAATCGATGTTAGTCGTTGACTCTTGGAACATAAAATTCACATTTTTTCCCTCTTAATGTTCTCTCTTATTTCGATTATACACTGTTAATTTTTAATGCATAAGGTATTTATTGTATGTTTTTTTGTGCATGTCATTTTGTTGTATTTCTATATATTTATCTATATTTTGTCATTTTATAGAGGGACCTGAATATCAGCTGGCCTTCAGATTCAGCTGGAAGGGTCACGCTCTTTAAATAAGTTAGGATACATACAATTTTTTCCTGTCCCTGGAGGGTGTGTGGGGGCAGCATTGTAAAGGGAAAGATATTTTGTTCAATGCTGTATGATTCTTTTTACAATTTGATTAACATACAGTTCACACTCCAATTTGAGAATCTAATTCCAAGACCTCCAATCTGAGACCAATGGGGGGTGGATATATGCGATTTGTGAAGCACCAAGCAGGGGGGGTGGGGTGGGGGCGGGAAATGAGCGTGGTTTTGCCAAGGGCGCAGATCATTTTGTGAGCTCACACCAACCTCAGGCCCATCATAGTTGGGCCTGAGGTGCGAAAATTATAGGAAATAGTCGCTGTAGATGACCGGAAATGACTCTTTCCGGTCATATCACCATTATAAAGTAATAGTCATAATGAAGCACCAACAAATTTCTCATGATGTTAAACCAGCGATTTTTGGCAACCATGGATATGTAATTAATATGTGTGACGTACTATAGAAAATAAAACTTAAAAACATTGTCTTTGATGTATGTTATAGTTTTGGCTTGCCTACTTTAAAGCCAGTCCACACCATAGTAAAGGGCTGAGGTGGGACCATTTGGGAAATAGTAGATTGCCAGAAATGACACTCTTACAGTTAAATTCATCATCATCGATCTAATTAATCACTGTGATGTTCAATTGAAAATAAAACTAAATTGTCTTTGATGTATTTTTAATTTACTTCACCTAGGCCTACTTCGTGTGCCGAAAACTAATATTATTATTATTATTATTATTATTATTATTACAAGCTTTCTTTCATACTTCTCAAATTATAATAAAGGCATGCGCACTCAAGTCTTGTATTATCTGATGTTTGTGGGCAGAGATAGAGTACCGTTTGAACAGTACCCTTTCGTTAAAACATGGGTCATTCATGCAGTTCATTTCAGGCATCTTCTTGACTTATAAAATTATTAAATTGCGGACGAAAAATGTACCAATGGGTACCAATGTTTGGGACGTATCCCTTGTCCCCCATGATCATTTTTTTTTTCTTAGGGGCGTCTTCAATTTGAGATTTTTTTGGAATTAGTAGACGGCTAGATGCTGAAAAGAATTTATGCTTAAAATAGAAAGTATGTTTTACGAGAGTACATGTATACATGAGAAGCACACACAAGAAGACACATTTTTTTTTCACAGTAAAAGAAGGTGGGTGTCTAGCCACCCTATTCACCCCCCCGCCCCCTCAGGTCAGCCACTGTGGCTGGTTCAATACAAACTTGTGCAATTCAGTGAATGGAGTTGTTCGCCTATATTTTAGTAAAGCTGTGCTTTCCTAATCTTGTATATTAATTATGTTTACATGTAATTTTAATTCAGACATGGATAATCATAATCATTAACTTTGTTGATATCTGCTATGGAGTCATTCCATATGAATCCAACACACTTTTTTGCCCGACCCCCTTCAAATTGCCCAATATTTTGCATGTTGGAGGTTCTACCTAAGATAATCCCACAGTGAAATTTTTGGCTCCGTGCCAGCATTTTCTGATGAGTTAGAGCAATTTGAAATTTTCATGAGATTTGACTAAAAAACTCACTTTCTGACAGACAACTGCTGATATCTCTCTTGAAACCTAACGTATTGGAGGTACCGTTGCATAGAGAAGAAGATTCTCTTTCAAATGATATGCAACTCGATGATGTCCGTACTAGTGAGAATTATATAGGTCAAGTCACGTGACCTTGATCTTTGACTCAAAATATCACAAAAGTATATATCTCGATTTTTGGAAAATTCACACCTCAGTTATTTGCCCACATGATGTGGGCAAATGAAATATATTAGCTCTAGACTACATTTTGTGCTTAGGTATTGATAGTTTCATTGAGTTTCCAGGAAATCTGCTGATAGATTCTATAAAAATTGACACCATAGTATAGTGAAAATCACTGGCCCCGTGACCATTTTTCTGGGACCAAGGTTTAATCTGCTGATTTAGCATCACTAGGATATAAATAAGAAATTGAGCGAGGGAGAACCTCCAGAAAAAGGGCAGAACATATTTTTCATTGGCCATAACTTCACTTATATCCAATGAAAAAGGGCAAATCTGGTGTGTAACTATATGTTATAAAGTTGACAAAAAACCATATAATTTGACACCAAATTTAGCATTTTTCACCAAAGAGAAGTGGAGTTACATGCCAAAATATTAAATTTTCGATGGTTTTTTATGGCGGCCATTTGAATTCCAAAATAGCTGCCATCCTAGATATATGAAACCATGTATATTTGACTCAAAGAGCCCAAAAACATATGCTTAAACACCAAATTTAGCATTTTTCATCAGAGAAGTGGAATTACAAACTAAAATATTCGATTTTTGAGGATATTTATGGCAGCCATCTTGAATTTCAAAATGACTACCATCCTAGCTTTTTGAAACTATGTTTATTGTATTCAGAGAGCCCAAAATCATATGATTAGATCCAAATTTACCATTTTCCTTAGAGGATATGTGGAATTATACTGAAATATTATTTTTTTGACCATTTTTAAGGCGGCTATCTTGAGTTTCAATATGGCTGCCATTTTACGTTTTCGAAACCTGTCTCATTGGCTTCACTGATCTAATAACATATAGTTAGACACCAGATTTGCCCTTTTTCATTGGATATAAGTGAAGTTATGAGTCAATATCGTAATTTTGGCAGCCATTTTGAAAATGGCCACCAAAAATATGTTCCGCCCTTTTTCTGGAGGATCTCCCTTGCTCAATTTACTTACTTATACCCTAGTGATGCTGAATCAGCAGTGGAACATTGGTCCCAGAAAAATGGTCACAAGGCCCCTGATTTTCACTATACTATGGTGCCAGTTTCATAGAATCTATCAGCAGATTTCCTGGAAACTCAGTGAAACTATCAATACCTAGCCACAAAATTTTGTCTAGAGCTAATATATTTCATTTGCCCACAATGAAACTTTAGGGGCATCATGTGGGCTAAGTGTCCTAACTGAGTTGTGAATTTTCCAAAAATCGAGATATATACTTTTGTGATATTTTGGGTCAAAGGTCAAGGTCACGTGACTTGACCTATATAATTCTCACTAGTCCAGATATCATCGAGTTGCATATCATTGGAAAGAGAATCTTCTTCTCTATCTAACAGAATTTCTCCAATAGGTTGAGTTTCAAGAGAGAAATCAGCAGTTGTCTGTCAGAAGGTGAATTTTTTAGCCCAATCTCATGAAAATTTCAATTTGCTCTAACTCTTCAGAAAATGCTGGCGCGGAGTCAAAAATTTCACTGTGGGGTTATTTCAGGTAGAACCCCAACATGCAAAATATTGGGCGATTTGAAGGGGGTCGGGCAAAACAGTGTGTTGGCTTTATATGGAATGACTCTATGGTGTTTTTATTTGCTTTCTGTTCTGTTTTATAAACTGTAATATTAAACTTGAACTTTCAATCAGTTGAAAAGGCCCACTTTTTGCAATTCATCACTCTCACACTTGTTCTGCACAAATGGGCATGTTTTGGCTTTATCCATAGTGCAAGGTAGTTTAATTAACAATTAACCTATCCATGGGAATGTGTGTGTACTTCTACAGTTAGTTTCTTGTTTAAAGGACGTTTACAGTTAAAAGTCCTTTTTAGAGTGAAATATTTCGTTAATTAAGTTTCTAAATAATTGGTTGTCCCATGTTGTCTTTTGGAGACTACTTTAGAGGTTTCAGGTTCGGTTACCCACTAATTATGTTGTTTGGAGACCACTTTTAACCTGTGGTCTCTATTTAGAGGCTTCTAGTTCAAGGCTGAACTCCAAGACCACCCCAAATTTGTCCAGAATTGGAGGGCGGACTGTATATAAAAATTATATGGCCAGCTGATAACTGGAGAAAAAATATTGCAGTATTGAATGTAAGACATTAGGATTTAAAGGAACATTAGATGGCTTTAATAATTGAATCACAGACATGGTTGGACATATTAAATGTTGCTACAAGAATTAGTGTAAATAAAGTAATGGGATGTATTTATAAATGTCTATTTTATAATAATAATAATAATAATAATAAAAAAATAAATTAATAATAATAATAATAATAATAATTTTTTAATGTTTATCTTCCAGTAAACCTATATGTACTTTAATATTCACAGACTGGTTATATGTTTGGAAAAGGGCTTTATTTTGCTGATATGGTCTCCAAGAGTGCCAATTATTGTTTCACATCATCAAGTAACCCAGTAGGTTTGCTGTTACTGTCAGAGGTGGCACTTGGCAACATGTATGAGAAGCTAAGCTCAGAGTACATCACTAAACTACCACATGATAAGCAGAGTACCAAAGGTTTGTGTATTTGTTTATTCTTATCGTAAAACTACAATATGCTCAGTTCATAATAGTCCTGTGGATTAAGATCAAAAAGTACATGGGTTTGACAGTTACGATATTCTTTTACTTAAGAATAACTGGGCAAACCAAATTCAAATTGGTAAATTACCAGATGTGAACCTTAAACTCGAAACAGAATCATACCAATAAAAAAAAGAAAAAAAAATAAGGAAAAAGGGTATAGCAATATTACACTACAATATTATATTATTATTGCAAACTTATGTATCTTCAATTTATGAATAAAAGTGGGACCACCCCCACAAAAGAAAAAAAAGAAACATACCAGCCATACATAAAACACCAACCTTGTATGTAAATGCACAATCCATCCACCACCTATTATGGAACACATCCCAGATGCCATAGGTAAAAATATATTGAAATTGTCAACCAATTAAGAAACATTTGGTAAAACTGTATGTACATACAGTAAAGTATTAACAAACAGTAGATATACAGAGCACATTAAAAAGCAGATGTAGAGGGTAGTGGGGCGCAGGAAAATAGATTTGCTGAATTGCATATGAGCGTGGCCCATATAGAGTAATTTTTTACTCTTCTGAAAGTTGCAATTGTTATAGGATACAAAACATGTAATAACCTGACAACTTCTTAAACTGCGTATACAACAGCACAAACAGTATGATGGAGAATGAACATCATGTGTTTTTACCAACGATGTGTAGTCAATGTGTAATTATTTGGCTATCAGAGAGTGAAAAACCACAAACAGCAATAGCCACACATGAGCCAGATTTCTACACTGGACCTGGTTTAATTATCAAAAAATGTGAAAACCAAAGCACTTTCCAGGAGAACAAAAGTATGACAAACTTTAAAACTGAAAAACTATTAAAGTCCACTATGGTTGCATGAAAAATATTAGCGCCCATAATTGAAGCCAAGTCAGAGAAAACTGTCCACTGAACAGTAAATGTCTAACCAGCTCCCTAGTATATAAAGCCGCTATGACTAAGCAAGAAAACACAAACATTTACTATTCAAACTAAGACATAATAAGTATAAAAACTAAACTATAATAATATAAATATTTATTTAAATGTCAGGCTTATAATAGTTCTTTTGATATTCCTGTTGAAATTTACTTTGTTACTTGTAGGTTTTAATGATATTGTATATTCATATATTTTTATATTTATGTTTTTGTTCTTAAAATGAATTGATGCTAAAAGAAATTTAAAGAAGTCCACTGAGATGCTTTTAACAAACATCAACACATACACTGTCACAGGCAAACGCCCGTAATGGCCCTGTCACACCTTGACGATTAAGCCAGCGTAAGCCGATGTATGAAAAAAATGGCGAATACGCTGGCGTACGTCGAATCGCGATCGTCGACACATGTTGACATACGATACCTGTAAGTTACTCAAAAGTCAAAACGTATTTGTAACGTGCTTCGAACTTGCATGTAACTTACTCCAACGTATATTGACGTACGTAGATGTATTTGACGTGTTCCAGACGACCACAAAACTTACTGAACGTGTTTCTAACTTACAGTTATCGTATAATGGTGTATTGGCAGCGTTTAGGGAAATAGGTATATTAAAATGGGGTGATGTCAATACGGTGACATTGATACTGCGATGTCTAGTGCGGTTACGATTTGAAGCGTAAACGGTGCGGTGATGGTGTGGTGTTTCTTTTCTTGTAGATTTGGTTCATGATAATTTTTTGTTCCTTCCTGTAGCGCCTTGAGCACTACAAAAATATCTTGGCTAGGCCATTACATCACAGAGCCAGAGTAGTGGTAGTGGTAGTTTATTTTCTTAGCTAAGCCTATGCCTACCTTAAATGGAATAAAAATCACAGCATCAATTTTTTTCTACGATTATACACATGTTTCCTATAAAGTTGATTATTTACTATTACTGTACAATCTTTTTATAAAACAATTCAATGTTGCTATTTTTTCTGAGTTACGATTACGATTATCGTTTTTAAACCTATCGTCTGTCACATGTGAACATTCCAAGTTAGACAAATTTGCAAATGTAAAACCTTTGGGAAATCCCCCTCTCCCTCCCTTTTATGGGGATCAACATCCCCCTCCCCCTAATTTTTCTGAATGCTCAAAAAAAACATTCAGGATCTGCATTGTCCCCTTTTACTTGAGAATTTATGTATTTCAGGTCGTCTCCACACCACAGTACACTGTACGAGTCTTTCAGGGTATATGGGGTAGCAGTGAGGAATAGCACCTCTGAACTATCATCAGTCACACGTATCATTACGTGGATGTGGTTCTTGGTTTCCCACTGTTGCTCAAGCTTCCTTGGTCTCTTTTGACAAACTATCTACAGCTGATGCCTCAAATGAAAGCACTATTCATGGGGTGTGAACTCCCAGCAGAGCTAAAATACCCAGGGAAGGGCGGATGAGTCCTATAAACCGACCAACGGCCATTCACTGAAACGTTTTTGCACCCCAGCCATTAAGGTCTTCTTGCCATTGGATTACGCGCTGAACAGCCAAGACTGTGAAGCACTGTAGTGCAGCCTTGCTTCACATTAAGTACCACGCACAGCGTTTGCATGCATAATGAACTATTTACTCAAGTCCTGTGGTGATTGGGGAGCGATGACGGGGACAGGATCATGAAATCTATAAGCCTTTAGTTGCAAACCAGCACGCAGGCGATGAAGGTTTAAATCAGTCGCTTAACTTTCAGAATGGAACAGGACAGCTGTTTGGTAGTTGCCTTCATGTCTAAGCAGCCCTCTTTACGATTCACTTTGCTCATCCTTAATCTGGGAAGGGGCTGTTCCACTCAACCTGGCTGGAATGCCGCATCTAGTGGTAAGAAAAAGAGAAATCAACTAATTTTGGTACATGGAACATACGTACAGTACATCAATAGGCAACTAACAAAGTGAACGCCCGGAAAGGCGCACAATCTTCGTGGCTCGTGAGCTACAACGATATAGTATTGACATTGCTGCCCTACAAGAAAGTGGATGAGCCAGTGAAGGACAGGTAAGCGAAACTGGAGGTGGTTATACATTCTTTTGGAAGGGAAAGAGTGATTCAGAGCCAAGAATACATGGTGTTGCTGTAGCAATCAGGAATGAGCTATTTAACAACATAGATCACTTGCCAATAGGTTTAAATGAACATCTCATGACTCTTCAGCTAAATTTCAACAAGAACCAAAAAGCAGCAATTATATCTGCTTATGCTTCAACTCTTATGTCTGTGTCTGAGGATAAAGAAATATTCTACTCCAAACTTGATACATTATTAACACAGATTCCTAGCAGCCACAGAGTATACTTTTTGGTGATATGAATGTGAGACTGGGTAAGGACTCAATCAACATCTAGCTGATCAACCAACCATTAATGAAGTTACAGATGCCATAAATGTAATGACATATAGAAAAGTGGTGGGATTAGACGGCATTCCAGCAGAAGCTTACAAATTTGGAGGTCCTGAGCTAACAGGAAAACTGCTAGATCTCTACAAGCTCATCTGGCAGACAGAGACCATACCTGCTGATCTCAGAGATATCTGGATCATCACCATCTTCAAAAAAGGAGACAAATCAATTTGTGGCAACTACCGTGGCATTTCCCTACTCTCAACAGCTGGGAAAATACTTGGAAATGATCTACAACTAGCCATGGATGCATTCAGCTTTGCCTATCCTACAATGGGTCTGAAACTGAACATCAAGAAAACAAAAATTCTCCACCAACCAAAGCCTGGATGGACAGCCCCTGAGCAACGTAGAGCACTTTACTTACCTAGGTAGTTGTCCCACATCAAAGGCTAATATTGATGTTGAAATACAACAGACTTGGTGCAGCCAATTGCACCTTTGGGCATCTAAGGGCCAGGATCTTTGACAACAATAATCTACTCATCAAAAAAAAGATAAACATACAATACTGTCGTAATTCTAACTTTGCTCTATGGATCTGAAACATGGGTAACCTATAGCAAACATCTGAAAAGTCTAGAAAAATATCATCAACGATGCCTACTTAGATTATTCAACATCAAATGGACGGATAGATACACCAATTGCAGTGTCTTGGAAGAAGCAAATGCTACAAGCATTGAGGCCTGCATTATCAGGAGTAAACTACGCTGGACAAGACATGTTTGTATGGCGAATGACAGGCTACTCAAACAGATTTTGTTTGCAGAATTATGCAACAGCAAAAGATTAAAGGAGGTCAACATAAACGTTTCAAAGATAACTTAAAACACAACCTAAAGCAGTGTAACATAGACACAGACACCTGACACAAACAGACAATTTTTGGAGATCTTCAATGCCTAAAGAAACGAAGGAGTTCATTTGTACCCACTGCTAGAAGATATGCCACTTTAGGATTTGACTCTTCAGCCATAACAAGAAACACAAATAGCAAGCAGACATCATAATCTATGGGCCTGTTTCTGCTGAGGGAAAAAACACATGTTTTTAAACGGTTATTAAAAAACACATGTTTTTCCCCAGTAGAAACAGGCCACAAAGCAAAAACATGCTTAGGAATGCGTTCTAAAAGTGCGTGTTTTCACACGCATTTGTTATAGGGTTCGCGTTCAGAAAACACGTGTTTTGTGGTACACTTCAGCTGCAATGCAATACCGTGTTAGTCATGACCTGTCAGTGACCCAAGTTGACCTCTTAGTTGGTTGGATCGCTCGTCCGCGGGAAACTCGGGGCGAAGAAAAAAATAAGGCCAATAGAATGACATGCTTGAAGATCATGCCATACATTTTTCATACTTTCCTGGTGTGTTTACTTCTTTCGCATCATGCACTGTAGCTCGCAAGAAGTAAGGTCAGCTTCAACTTCCGTTGGTGACCATCATTTAAGCTCCGCCCACCTGCTAATCCTTGCATTACCACGTTTTTAAAAGTTGCACTTTTCACTAGAAACACGTTGAAAAGGAATTTAACCGTTTATAAAAAAA